AGAGTCCTTTACCTCACTGAGCCTCTCAGTCTGACAGGAGAGCTCTCCTCCACCCTGGTTGTAGAAACATATACTTCTTATATCCGTTAGCGCAGCTAGCAACAGATTCTAATAAAAACAGTGCCGGTACCGGTGCGCCCTCTCTCTCTCTCTCCCTCGCTCGCTCTCTCGCTCCCACGCTCACACTTTGGCTGTGAGCTGCGGGCGCCTGATAAGCCAACATCCCCCACTTTCATCACTTACAGCGCCCATCGTACAGGGCAAATGAAAAGTGTAACTGGGGTGAAAAGGGTGTTACATTTACTTAATTATGAATGTTGTTACATCAAGGCTGAAAATTAGGATGAGCACCAACGGTCAAAAATGTTTTGTCCCCTCCCAAAGCTACCAGCGCAGCGCCCCCCAGATCTGGCGACCGCCTATGTCACCTATGCCAAAAATCGGCCCTGCCTAGTACATACAGTGGCAATGTCTCAAGATTTAGCAAAATTACACCTTTATTGAACATACAGTAACACAAATACTACAAATCCACATAACAAACAATCAAAAATGAAAAAGGGTCGCCACTTATTATTATTTAAAAAAGTTTTTTTTGGGTACCCGGCTGGGGCCCCCTAGCAGCGGCGCGCATATTTCAGCAGCGGCGCTGCGCCGCCACTACTTGTATATAGGGGAAACACTGCATGTTACATGAAAATGTATTGAGTGGAAGTATAATGTAGCAGGGAAGGAAAAGACTGTTATCTCAAAATAGTATGGTACACTGATTAAACCAAATTCTGCACACTTCATATTGTTGTCTTTCTGATACCAAATCACTACTCTGTCCCTTTGAGGCCTTTTGACTCACACAACAAGGATTTGTATATTTCACATTAGCCTGTCATTTGTACTTAAAGGGACAGTTCTCCCAAAAATAAAAATACATATTTGTCCTCAGACTTGTAGTGCTATTTATCTAGATAATTTTTTCTTGTAAATTGTTGAGCGTTGGAGCTATTGTCTGTAGAAATGTCTGCTTCTCTCCAATATAATGGAACTCGATGGAACAGTGCCTGCAGTGCTCATGGTTGCAAACAAAGTTGAATGTAGGAACTATTTAGCAAAAATACTGCAAGTACCAGTTACTCAAATATCCAAACTCCACTATAGACACTGTAGTCTTGACTCATTATGTGTATACAAATACTACACAAATATAATATCATGCTTACAGGGTTTCCCCTATATTCCACCAATCTTTCTCATATAATTCAAAGGCCAAATCACTGCAGAGAAACATGTACTAATGGAACCACTGAGTTCCACATGAGGAACTTGTGGTCCAAAAGTGTTTTTCACCCAGTTTTGAGGTCTGTGACTCGGAGACAGTTTGTGGAGTCCAGTCCCACGCGGCCGTTCCTCACAACGCTGCACAGCAAGGGCCGCAGCTCAGGGGAGATCCTGTGAAGGGCCACCTCAGGGGAGATGTCGTTCATTGTATCTGCTCTGAGTGATGAGTCTGTGGAGATACAATATAAAGAAAAGCTTTAATGTTATTTATAAAAACAGCATTTTACTAGGAACAAGCATGTATTTGTACTGGAGATTTAAATGACATGAGCTAATGTACACCACATACATTTTTATTTTTATTCTTCTTGAATCAGAACAGGTTTATCAGCAGGTAGGTTGACACGCACGAGGAATTGTACTTGATGTCATGGTGCATACATAAAAGTAAAACAAAAATAAAAAAATAAAAAGCCAACTATTTTAAGAAAACTATAATAATAACACTAAAAAATTAAATAAAAAATATAGTAAAATATAGCAGTATTTACATAGAAATAGAATGGAATAAAATATGGAGAGAATTAAATGAAGAGAAAGTATAACACAAATCAGGTAAACAACAACAGCATTCAGAGCAATAAAACACATTACATGACAGTGTCAAAAGACATTATATAACATTATTCAACATCTGTTCAGCTGTCATTTCCGGGTGTCAAGGGAATGTTTGTATGAAAGTCAGAAACAGCTTCCTGTTATTTTCAGATTTTTAACTTTCTAGCTCAAAATAGGCAGATGTTTATTCAACTCCTGGGTGTTAGATAGATAGATAAAACCAAAGTAACGCTTAGGGCCATACAATGTTAGCTATGACACTACCAACCCCTTTTCCCTCACTATAACGTAGACAGGCCACAATGAATGGCAAAATAAAAATAAAATAGAGTTAGTATCAAGCTTATGTTGTACACGTTGTTTGTGGTAAACTAGTACACTCAGTATCTCGGGGGATTTTAGTCTGTACTCTACATTTTATGTCAGTGTATGTTCGTAAGCTTGCTATCGTTAGCTTGTTAGCTTAACACAGAACGGAACTTCAGTTTGCTACACTTTGAACAACTAGCTTACTCTAAAAAATAATCCATCTATTATTGTTAATGTTGATACAACATGCGGTGTAGGTAAGAGTACCTTAAAGAGCTGGAAGTCAGATCATTTAAGCATTAACTCCAATGTTTACTTCATGCACTTAACATTTCCGGTACATGTTGTTAGGGTCCTTTTGATTGCCCCCCACTTAGCCGTCTGTTATAATGCCTGTTGACAAAATTAGTGCTTTTACTCCCTAGGCCAAATTCTGCGGTAACATATAACTCATTTACTATTTTTGGTTTTCCATATTTATACGTAATACATTATAGACTACACAAAATACGTATGCACTAATAAAGTGGCAATATTAGGCCAGGCAATAGCTATAACGTTCCCAGCTGTCATTATGCACTTTGACCGTCTCTTTTCTGTTGTGGGGTGTTGTTGTGTTCAGTTCTCAACTCTGCAAGAAGCTAAGAGAACATTTGAATGAAAGGTAATTTCTGCACAACTTTATATAATATATATTATATATTCTAATTAATCTGCATGGATCATAATCCCTTCTCGGCGATATCCCACTCAGTCTTCATCTAATTCCAGAGTTGAACACACACGTAATGTAGGTGCTTTAAAATAATCTTAATATTTCTAATTTTACTGTAAAACAGAGTCCTGCACGGGTCTGATTTTCAAGACCCGCTCCTGCCCCTCACCCGCAACGTGCAATACCGAACCCGCCCCGCCACCCGCACATATTGACAATTAGAGACAAATCCAAGCCCATACTAACCGCACATGGCTGCTGNTTTTCAAGACCCGCTCCTGCCCCGCACCCGCGACGTGCAATACCGAACCCGCCCCGCCACCCGCACATATTGCCAATTAGTTCCGCAACCCGACCCGACCCGTCGGCACAAGATCCGCAACCCGACCCGAACCCGCATATATATGAGCAGTGCAATTATTAACACACGCAGTTGCATATTTGTCTCAAAAAGCGTGGGATGTTGGTTATTTCCTCCATCTAGGATGACACCAAAAACCTCCAGACGTTGGATTTCGCTCTTAGGAAGTGTTATTGAAAATGCTGTATTCCCCGCTGGAGAGCTTCACCTCAGCCATTTCGAATGTGGCGCGCTCAGAATCAGATTGATGCGCTAGTAGAGGTTATCATTATGCGCGGTCCCGCGGGGGAGAGGTCTGAGGATTTAAACATTAAACTAAATTATTATTATTTTTAATATATTTATTATGCAACACCCGCGACCCGACCCGCATCATCTTTGTTTTACCCAGAACCGAACCCGGAAAAAAGCGTTTGAAAAAATACCACCCGCGAATCACCTTTTTTGCGGTTCACCCGACCCGATGCAGGACTCAGCTGTAAGATAGTCGTGATAGTCACGCTTATCTTTAACAGATAAGCCTGCACATAAATAATGTATAAGCAGAACATAATAAGCAAAGTGGTGTAATGTAACTAAGTGCATTTACTCTACTGTCCTTGACTACAAATTCCAGGTACGCTACGTGTAATTTTTGAGTATTTACCATAAACTGTGGTATTGCTATTCTATATAACTTTATACTTGTACTCCACAACATCTCAGAGGACTTTGACTCCACAACGTAGGCCACAGTTTTTCATTGTATTCTGTAAAAACAATGTATAGCCTATGTTGATTTTGAATGGTTGTGATACACTGAAGGATATAATGTAGTCTTCCTTGATGAGTTGAGAAAACCCATAAAGTTCCAGGTTCAGCTACAAAAAAAAGCAAAGTCACAAAACTAAAAAAAAGACTGTTCTGTGAATTCTAGATGACTGCGTTTGCCCATCAAAACACCTCAGGCTGAAAATCATTCAATGTGTGAAAAGACACCTTTGTCTTGTACAAGTTAAACAGATCTAACTGGGGAGCCAGTGGAGGTCATGGAGGATAGGGGTGATGTGGTCGGAGCGCCAGGCTTGCTCACCGCAAGCGGGCAGCTGAGTTTTGGACATATTGAAGTTTTTTTAGTATGAATGCAGGTGATCCAAAAAGTATGCTGTTATGCAGTAATCCAGTCGGGATGTTATAAAGGCATGGATCAGAGTTCCAGCAGCGGTCGATGAGAGGGAGGGTCTGATGCGGGCGATGTTCTTTAAATGGAAGAAAGCGTTTTTTGTGACCTGGTTGACGTGAGGGAGGAAAGTGAGGGTGGGGTCAAGGATGATGCCAAGGTAACGGATGTGAGTGGAGGAGTTGACAATGGAGCCATCGATGGTAAGAGAAAAATCTTGGGTTGAGCGGGTAAGTGAGTTTGGGATTATAAATTCCGATTTGTCACAGTTAATTTTTAGAAAATTGTTTTGCATCCATTTTTTAATGTCAGTGAGGTAGGTGCTGGGCTGGGAGTGTGTGGTTGGAGAAATTGATTTTGTTGAGAGGTAGAGCTGTGTGTCATCAGCATAACAGTGGAATAACTGGAACTGGATTTGTTGTTGACGGAGGATTTGTCCAATTGGGAGGATGTAGATGATGAACAGAAGGGGACCCAGTAAAGAACCCTGAGGGACGCCATGATTGACGGGGGCTGTGGGGGATTTGCAGTTGTTAATGGAGATTAATTGATCTGTCAGAGAGATAGGATTTAAACCAGGAGAGGGCAGTACCGGTAATGCCAATTGAAGACTGGAGGCGGTTGATGAGGATGGAATGGTTGATCGTGTCAAATGCGGCTGTTAGGTCATGGAGATGAGGTTGTTGTGTTTCATGTTATCCAGATATAATTTCCTCATAATATGATTCCATTGAAAGACCACCAATGATCATATTTAATTATTATGATTAGCCCTAGTTGGTTATCGCCCAATCTTTAGTGATGTTCAGTACCTGATTAGATGGCATTAGGGTTGTCTTAGCAGTTCAACATTCTTCAACAGTTCTTTTTTTGAATATTCTTACATTTGAGAAAATGTTTACTCTTAACACTTACTTCACACTCTTACTGTGTTAGTGTGAAGGTAAAACATCACAGAAAAGGCACACAAGATGATTGCTTGTGTTTAACCACAGAAAATCGTGAATTATGTCCTTAGAGTCCACTACAACACTGTGAATAATATAAAAGAGCTTTTGCAAACAATGTGTGTTTGTGTTTGGTGGGATAGGGGTCAAATAATATGTTTTTCTGTGATTATAGCCATTCTCTTAACTTCTGAAAAGCATTTTTAAACATAAATCCTCTTACTGTACCATCGTAATAACAGTCATTTTCAATTTCTTGACTGCCGAGCAGACATAGGCAAAAAAGTAGTTTTTTTTTGTTTTTTAAATGGTTCAAACAATATTTATTTTATATTTCTCTGGGTTTTTGATTATAACTCAGTCTTAATTGTTTTACCTATTGTGTGGAACCTAAATTTGCATTTAGACAAAGTAGTTTCAAACATGACTGCAGCCTTTTGAGAGCATGCTTTGATAAGTTAATTTCCCAAAGTATTAGCTTTAAAGGAACATATTCTGCTCATTTTCAGGTTCATATTAGTATTTTGTGTCTCTAAATGTGTCCATGCTTTAATGTTCAAAAAGCTCTTTATTGTTCTCATACTGCCTGTGCTGCAGCACCTCTTTTCACCCTCTGTCTGAAACCAGAGCCCAGCCTGCTCCGATTGGTTAGCTGGCCAGCTCTATTGCGATTGGTCAACCACTTAGATATGTTCCACAATGTGTTGAAACACTTTCCAATGGAAGCTTGAGTTTTGCATAGTGATCACTATGTTACAAAGTGAACAAAGGAGTCCAATCGGGGGATTTTAGACTTTGCAGACCATTTACATGCACTAAAACCTAAATAACACACTACAGGAAAGGGAAAACTCCAAAAAAGCACAATAGGGAACCTTTACTCTTCACTCATTCATTCATGTTCATTTAGATCAGGGGTGTCCAAACTACGTCCCGGGGGCCAAATGCGGCCCGCAGGCCATTTTAAAAACGGCCCTCAGCTGATTCAAATAGTATAATGAAATATGGCCCATAAATTAAACTTGTCATATATTGTACTACTTAAATATATATGTAAACATATATATCGCGGTGTACATGGCGTGCCCACCTTTCAAATAAATTCAATCAATTAAAGTTGGAAACATTTGTAAACAAATCTTAGTTGAAACAATAACTTATTTACATAACAAGCTTGAAATCTACCCTTTCTATTTCCCCTTATTATAAGCACACTGACGTTTCTGTTTTAAGGAATAAGCTGCTAACAAAATAAATGAAACCCTCTGGAGAGCTGTGATGTATACGCAGTTTTTTTATTAAAGCATTTTCAAGTATCAATAATAACTTACCTATATTTGATTGATTTGGCTAACTTTTTCTACAGTGATGGCAATAAACCTAGTGAGCGGCCCAGCCCTTCATATATATCTTTCTGTATTTGGACACCCCTGATTTAGATGCACCAACCTGAACACTAATTCAGGTTGGTCAACTCCATGATAACTTTGCCTTGAACTCAAGAAGAGATGGAGCATTTTAAAATGGTTTGTTGCTATTTAAAGTGGCTGGACAATGCAGATCTCATAAAATATTCTCCTGCAGTGGAGATGTGGAGGTTAGCTTTTCATGCCTGCCCAAGGAAGACAATATGCTTTGAGTTGTGGGAGAGAGAATTGAGCCATCCTGCAGCCAGCGGCCAGGCTTTCCAAGTCTTCCACTGCCTAGGCAGAGATTTGAAGAGATTAACACACTAGCATTAGCTCAGATACAAGCCAGGGATTGAATTAATTATAGAAGTCGCTGGGCTGCGGTGCATTCACATGGTGTAGCATTGAAATACCCCCTCCATTCCACCCCCAATAAGATTGGAACCTGTCCAACTCAGCCAGCGATGAATGCTCTATTTTTACCTTCTTTCTCATTTCAGTCAAGCTCATGCTAATGTGGGAGATAAAGAATATCAAATGATTTTTGTTTGGAGGCTGGTGGGGAAACTAGTTTACATATTGTGCCTGATATGCCGCCAAGGAGTCTGCTGTGCTTTAGATTTTGTCCTCGTTTCTCAAAATATTTGATAGGAAAGGCTGGACAAATGTTGAGAATTTAAATGAAGATTATTTACAATATGTTATGTCTGGAAATGAGTGTTTTTACTTTATTAATAACACCAATTTGTTTCCTAATCAGATCATGACTGAAGAGGGGTTTGATGTGATGGTGGTTGGCTCCTGTATGACTGACTTGGTGAGGTGAGTTCGTTTAGCCCATACTAAACTTTGTGTTTGTCTACAAATGACCATTAATCACCCTTATGTTTTATGAGAACGCTGAGTACAACATCTTTGGCTAAACATGGGTTCAGGAAACTCCTGTGCTTCCTCAGGTGGGCTCAACAGGAAGCAGGACATTGGGCAACTGTTCATGATCATATTAGGCTTATTTTAAAATGTTTCTTACCCTTTTGGTCTGGATCCATGTGGTTTTGCTTAGTATGAAGATTTCAACACTGATTTGTTTAATATGTTTTTAAATAATGAAAATGTAAAAGAAAACATATAATCTGTTCGCAAACTCTACAAAAAAGTTGATGTTGTTTTTTAAAGCATTGGCAACAGTAGTTACAACAACAAAGAAAACCCCCCAAGGAATTTCAATTAAACTACAAGATGTTTCTCTTTCACAAAATCACACATATACTAATTCCAATATGCTGACAATGATTTATGTATTTCGTTGGAAAATCCCTCTTCAGAACATTGGTAGCTGCCAATGTCGCCAATGATATCTTTATATTTCCATCTTATACGTACAGTAGTAACCACCTTGTACTAGGTTCCTGTTTTACATGAGTCAGCTATGGACTGTAAATAAGAGATGTAAATTAGTTGGCATTTTGGGGGCCATCTTTTTTTGGGACCAGAAGTGAATGAAATGAAAATACACTGTGAAGAAGTTTAAAGTACTAACAACAAAAACACGGAGAGAACAAAAACCAGACATCAACATGACCTGTCTTTCACAGGGTAGCCACGCCCTCAAGCATACTCTGCTCTACAATTTGACTCTAAATGGGACCATAATTTGCAAGATGAACATCATGCTGTATTGAAAAAGACTATAAACTAGCAATTGGGAACAAAAACTCATTAGGAAAAGTTATGAAAGATGGTATAAAGGGATGAGAAGTAAGGTCATCTTCTCGCTGACTTCTTTACACTTGGTCATCTTTTTAAGACCAGTGGAATCAACCCCTGTTGCATCGGTTTAACTTTTTCAAACCCTGAGTTTGCCATTGAAAGTCAGCAGGCAACAATCAAACAAAGTCATGTGACACTCATGTAATTACAGCTGATAAATCATTCCAAAGTCATCATTTCATAAAGCAAAATGTACAGTTGCTGCTAGAAAGTCTGGCTTTGAGTACAACTGTCTGAATTCAAAAAAGACTTTGCTTCAAAAATAACTACGAAATTCTAGCAGAAAGTCTTCTCTCGTTATCAATGCAAACTGCACTATGTTTGTGTTTGCTCATGAACTCGACAGGCATATTATCAGTCATTTAGTGGGTGTGGCTGACCAAACGGTCAAGTGTCTCTGTTTAAACATGTTTCCCTTTATTATTATTATAATTATTATTATAAACCACAACAGCCATTTTCCTTTGGTGACTTGCAGGCATGTGGAAAATATGGCATAAAGGCTCGAGGGTATTTTCCATGGACTGCACCCTCCTGTCTGCTCAAGAATAGAGGAAGTTGTCCCAAATTAGATAATGTCTCTGGCTTTTTAATACTTGTCCTTAACGCCCATAATAATGTAAGGAAAATCCCTGGTTTAAGAGTGTGGAGGCAAACAGCTTTTAGGCCATTAGGCAATGAGCAGACTTCTCGTTAAATAGGGATGGGTTGGTGCATTTCCATATACTTCAGCTTCCTTTACACACATGAGCTGTTGTTCTAAAACATCCACTGATCTGCAGCAGGTTGTTATTGCTGTACAAATACCAAATAATTGATTAAGTCATTGACAGCTGATGTAGGTGTGCCCATCCCATGGTATATCTGACTCCACTTTCAGAGAGTGTGCAGAAGATCTGGTATAATTGCTGCTTACCGAAATGTCAGTGTTGCATCATCCTCATACGTGGTGAGATTTGTTGAGCCAAGTAGCATCCATTCCCACAAATCATTAGTCATCAACTCCAGCACAATGGGTTAGTTAGAAAACAATTTTTCATCCTCATTTACCATAACCTTTTGTGAGGAATGACACAATCTCAAAAGAAGCATTTAAAGCAAACACAGTAATGTCACGTCTTCATGGGCTTCAGCCATCGAGCTGTATTCCTGTCAGCGTGTGTGGCAGTTTTGTCACACAGCTTGTATTATATATGAAACCCTGGAAAAAGAACTGTCACCTAGCTGCCAGCAAGTGGAGATCTAAATAAACAACCACAACTTGTGCCAGTGGCAGAAAAAGTTTCTCGACATTCTAGCGAGTGCAAGTTGTCACATTTTTGTTGTCACTCACAAGTTCCAATTTATGAAAAACATATGCCTTCTCCTACTGAGGTTTTTGGATTTATTTTGTTGCTCGTTAGCAATTCAAACAGTGACTTTCTGCTTTGAAGGGCAGGCGTTGTCAATTAAGACCCTTAATAAGCTAACGGGAAATGACCTGTTTTTGGAGCGTGTGTTTGTGTGTGGGGTTGGGTTGGGTTTTTTGGATGGGGGTCAGATAGGGAGGGGGTAGTTGGAATACATTTGCAGCCCTTCAAAGTGATATGCATGGCTTTGAAGTTAGAAATCCAGTTGTCTTTAACAGCCAGTGTTTGGGTGGCAGCACAATTTAGTGACAGACAGCGGGGGCACACACTCTTCGGTCTTGCCATCTGAACACAGTCAGATCTCTATGGTGCTTTGTTATAAGTGTGCCAAGCAAGAGTATACTATCCTTGTTTTTTTACAGCTTTAGTACAAATGTTATGTTGTATAGGTCTACTGTCTGCAGTGCATAAAGAGGAGGAACAGCAGGGCTTCTCGTGCTTTAAACCCATTGTCAAAGCCATACAGTGCCCCCTACTGCCTCAGTCTACTGAGTGGAGGCGCTTATCACCTGCTCACTGGAATCTGAGTTTCCCAAATGGTTAAGCAGAACCACAATGTACCACAACCGTGTTCCCACCAAAGCATAGTAAACACACCTTTATTCAAGTGTGGTTTGTAATGAATTTATCTGCACAAATTACAACGAAAAGACTGGTTAAAAATAAGACAAAATAACAGTATTCTTCCTCCTTTTTGCTCAGGGACAGGTTGTGGGACAGTGTTTGCAAAAATGTGGAATACAGGTGTTTTTTAGGTGTTGTAACAAGGTTACATTTAATCCCAATTCTTATCAGAGTTTAGCAAAACTAAGTTTAAAATAAGTAAAGATAAGATAACATGTACTGTATTGATCCCAAATTGGGAAATGTTTCCGTTACACATTCAAAATAGAAAATAAGATTATATAAAACAGAAGTAAAAAGTTACAAATAATTTTCACCATGAAGATAAAAAACTGTAAACTTTCTGAAAAATAAAACAGTATTGAAGGGCCAATTTACAGCTAACACAATATAAAGTAGGATATTATTTAGTTATTTATTAAGTGTGCAAGGAATGGCTTATTCAATTAAATATAAATGTAACATTTACAGAGTGAAGATATTAATCCAGTTAACAAAAGAGAAACTATCGAGCTGTGAGTTCTCCGCCAGCCAGAGTTGATTCGCTGCACAGTTATTGCAGTAGGCAGGAATGTATTCCTCTGTCCCTGTGATTTCATTAAACAGCTTCTCTACTACTTTGAGAAAATATGGTTGGCCACAATTAATTTAGCAAAATGCCAACAAGTAATAGACAAAACAGCAACAGGGTAAGGAAGAAGAGACAGCCTGGCAACAACTGGCAGAAATTTAGAAAATACATTAATTCCATTTTTTAAAGTGAGATCTCCTGAACTGTAATTCTTAAGGAAACACTGGATCACAATTTAACTTTAAACTGTTAATTTTTTGTGCAACAGCATTTCATTTAATCTAAGGTTAGAGAAAAAAAACTAAACTGACATTTAAGGAACAGTATTACAATGTATTATTTTAATTTTAACCTCATTTTAAAGTTTTGTGCAACATCATTTTAATTAAAGATATAAAAAAATCAGTTTTGAAAATAAATCCATATTGAGTGAACTCAATCATAAAATATTAACTTTGTAGTATTTAATCTACAGTAGAATTGTTCTATTCCATAAGCTGTGTCCGTGATCCGTCTGCCAACCTTTAATGTAATTGTAAAAAATATTAATTTAAAAGGTTTTGAAGTATTCAATTCAGAGGCAGAATGGGTTGATAAGGGGCTTATTATATCCACTGATATAGGCAACTTCTGAGTGAATGATAGCAACATGCACGTGGCTTCAACCAATGGTCTGACCACACAAAAATAAACGCCCACGTCCTACTCCGACACTGCACCTCTTGTGAGGGAAGCAGCTCACCATGCCCATGTAAGGTATGCTGTCTTTGCTCAACCTGTTCTTTGTTAGGTCTCTTCACCTTGTCCTGATTTACCGGAGCTTCTGCTATAGGGACTTTTGTGGACAAGGAAACTTTCACAAAATGTGAACAAAAATATATTTTCTGAGTGGTGCATTCATCGGCTCAGAAGCTGAGGCACACCAAGAGCTGAAGGTTAACACACTGATCAAAAAAATTCTGAGAGCAATACAACCATGTAGTAGTATCCTTATTTATTGTCGTAATTATATGATATTTTTACAAGCAAAAGCAAAATATTTTAATATGTATTATTTTGCCAATAGCTAGTTCACGATGGAGGTTGTGTTTTTCGACAAAGAAAAGCTTTTCAATTAGTTTTTGTCCAAGTCTGCTTCCCCATGTTGCTCACCAACAGCTGAGGAATGACTCTAATTGAGACAGAGGAGAGGGAAATGAGAGCCAGCCTCAAAGCAAACACTTCAAGTCACTGAACACCTGCTCTGGCCTTTTGGTTCCATGGGAGAAAACGCACCGAGGTTGCACTTTAGCACATAACTGCCCTGTTTTTTTGGTGCACTCACCACAGACAACAATAGCCAAGTGTCTCTTTGGCATGAAGAGGCGTAGGTGGGTTTATTTAAGAATTTGGAAATCTGTTTATCTTACCTTTCAGTTATCCGCCTTAAAGTGGCTGACGGCCAAATGTTATATTGAAAATGTTGCGGTTGTGCTCATTATTCATCACTATTGTGTGAAAATCTCAAGCCATGAACACGTCAATGTATGGAAAGGCAGAACATTTGTTAGTGACTATGGCGGACACAGATACATGCTTCTTCTTACATGATAATCACTCAAGTCTCTACACGTGAAATGCCCTTGCTATCATTTAGTTTACTAGCATCGTGCACTCCACTACACAAACAATTATTAAAGACAAAAGAAAATGAAATAAACTAATAGATAATGTAGAGATACATTCCACCATACATGTATGTCATCATCTTCTTGACTCAATACGTTTTCCACTATGAGGGCAATCCTTGTAACAGAAAAGCTAAGTTCTAATTGAAATGTTTCAACTAAATACAAATTATAATTTTTTTGACATTTAAGGAAATGCACTTACTGTAGTTGCTTTTTGCAGAGAGTTACATGAGAAGATAGATGCATTGTCTAGCATAAGTTAGAGCCACAGTTAGCAAGGCTAATTTTAGCTTAGCATATGTATTAGCCAACATTTCTGTTTTTTAGCTTAGCACAAAACAATTCCAGGAAATGTTTTATATGCTTTTTCTTCCAAAAGCCATATCTGTATGCCAAAATAGAAAACCACCATAAGAGGCAATTAGCTTAGCCAAGGGGGATGACAGCTATAGGCTAGTTGTTTTGGTGTTGAGCAAAGCTAACCGGTTTCTAGCGATTTTCATATTTAGCTACAGTTATGACAGTGGTATTAGTGTCTCTTTTCAATATAAAAGACCTGAATGAACGATGTGAAACAGTTTTTCCCAAACATTTTTTTTTTTTAATTAATGTACATATGGGAGTCCATGTGCAAGGTTTTTTTTCTCACCAAGAGAAACAGCTTTGACACATGTGGGAAAAAAGTATTAAACGGCTTCCTACCTATTCTACATATTCAATAACAATATGTGTGTGTGTGTGTGTGTGTGTGTGTGTGTGTGTGTGTGTGTGTGTGTGTGTGTGTGTGTGTGTGTGTGTGTGTGTGTGTGTGTTTGTGTGTGTGTTTACATGTTTTCAACCTTTGTTCCGTTTCCTTCTCACCACATTTCAGTCTCATTGACCCTACATCCTGTTATAGCTTTGGGCACTTTAGTGTTTTCACACGCCGGTGTGCAAAAACAGCAGCATTTATTGCCGCCTCCAGTGTTTGCCACCAGCGTCTCAGTTACTGAAAATCCTGGGATAGAGTGAGCTTACTGTAACAGCACACCTGCCACAAACACACTCGCAGTATAAGAAAGAGCAACAACAGGGGGAAAAACAAGTTCATGACAATATTTTGCCACCCGCAAACCCTTTGGCCCCGGGCCAGGATTGCCCGAAGCCAGACCACAGCATTCTGACGTGCAATATGAAGTGGTCTGTTGTCTCTACTCCATGTTACTCACCACTCATTCTGGCTCTGCGACTGGAGAAATCAGAGAACAGACAGCTCCTCCTGAGGGCAGCCACCTGTGGCATATCAACCTCGAGGGGGAGGGCGGGACTTTACCCAACCCTGATGAGTCACGGATTGATAGTGCAGCCAAAATCAAGTTGAGACATCTATGGTTTTTGCTTGTTGCATCATTTGCACAAATTGAGAAACTTGCATGGACACATCTTCAGTGAAATATTGAGAATGCGTTTAACAAAGATGAGCCAATAGCAAACTCCATATTAGGTTGTATTGCTGCTTTCGAGTTTAAGTATGGAAAAAGGGGGGTTAGGGAGTGGGGTTCCAATGCTCCATTGATTCTGGCAAAGATTGCACTTTGTTGACCTTTTTTGTGAAAGCCCTTCCCAAGACCAAAAGATGTAATCCTCAGCAGACTCAACAGAGACCTATTGTCTTCCAGTGATAAATAAAGAGCTCAACCAGGAAAAGATTTGGCCCTGAAGGTTTATCTTCACATTTTGACATCTCCCTTTACTTCTTGGTTTCAATGTAGAACGCTCACACTGCCAAATAACACATTTTTCATAGTTTGAAGGAATATTTTCAAACTTTTAGTTGCAGTCTGAAGAGACTGTTGAGATGAAAAATCAAATTAGGACTGCAAAATCCAGCCAAAGCATGTTTTTAGGTAGAAGACTCTTACTTTTTCATCCTCTAAATCCTTTGAGGTTCTTTTGAATGGAGGTGAACTCCATAAAATGGTGCTAATTGCCTATTCATTTTTGTTTACCTCAGCCAGGCACCAAGACTACCAAAAGCTGGGGAAACCATCCATGGTCACAAGTTCTTCATTGGCTTTGGAGGGAAGGGGGCCAACCAGTGCATACAGGCTGCAAGACTGGGAGCCAAAACCGCAATGGTCTGCAAGGTATGACACTGGAATCAAGTTTGCAGAAATACACTGTTGCTGTGATTTACATTATGTGTGTACCTTTGGATCCAAGCATTAATTTGTGCATTTTTGAAAAAAAAGTTGATTTGCTTGTCCAACCTTTGTTTAATCTACGTCCAACTCAGTACAAACACAGCTACCATAGTCCGCCAACTAGTTAACAATTCCCCAAGACATTGCAGCTTCGTTCACACTTCAGTCATTTCACCACATCAACTCTTCATGCCTCATTTCCTCTTGATCAATACCATACCGCATGCATACGCCCACCCACACTTGCGGGCCTTCAAACAAGCCTATTCCCATACCATACAACCCAGAGTCTCCAATCAGTATGCTCAGCGTGGCCTTTCAACCCGCGCACTAAAGCACCGAAGCCCCACCTCTGTCAGAACAAAGAGGCCCGATCGATAACAACCCAGTGCGGGAGGAGCTCTCCGGGCATGGGGAGAACCCAAAAATAGACACCCGGGCTTGTCAAAAACATCCAAGACGTAAGGCCACTCTTCAAAGAGATTGGGGCCAAGCAGCCAATACCAGCCCAACCCATTATCACAGGCAGCTAGAAGTGCCCTCGTTTTGGCACATTTTTTGGAAAGCGTGGGTTCGAAGTAGGCGCCTCGGGGCAAGGTGGGGACCCCTTCCACAACCCAAAGTAGCTACAGATGTGGACATCCCAATGCGGAGCAGGGGAAGAGGGGAAGGAGGGAAGGAAAACGAACGTGAGGTGGGTATGAAGAGGCGTGAAGGCGGGGTTATCGTGTCTTCGAGGCTTGGCGCAGCTGGTCGTGTGTTTTCGCGTGTGTGCATTTCTTGACTTTGTGTGTTAGTTTTTACACATTTTCGGCGGCGGCACCATGCCAGTATGCTGGCAGGGCACACGAAAATCCAACCCAACTGAGGTTTGACTATACCACTTTTCAAAAGTTGCCGCTAACCAAGTCTGACCCCGCTTGACACTCTCTTTGTTGAAATCGTTTTGCTTTCCATCTTTTCTAGGTTGGTAAAGACTTCTTTGGAGACAATTACATTCAGAATTTCAAAGACTATGGTGTAAACACAGGTACGTTTTTTTTCTTGCATTACTGCATGCCAAATTGGTTGCCATTGTTGCATGGTAAGAAGTTCACGGTCAGAGCGATTAAATTTTTTGCCTGTATTTTGTCAGTTATGTTTAGTTGCTCATGCTTTTGGATTTACTGGGAGATTGCTCAATTGTTATGTCCAATGGTGGGTAACCAATTGGAATTTGTTTAAAATAAAGTTGCTTTTAAAAATTTGCTCATATCAGACTCCAGATGTTTGTGGCCTGTCTCTTCATAGACAGAACCAAAGGAATTACAAGCAATTATAGAAGTTACTATGGTGACAAGTGTGTTTTATGAAACACAAATAATGGATGCTTTCAAACTCTGTTATTCACCTTTCGTATTTTCCCTCTGTCTCAGACTTTGTCGGGCAAGCATCTGATGCAGCCACAGGAGCTGCCTCAATCATTGTAAACGATGCAGGTAAATGCTTTTCTTTTGCCACTAGCTGATGGCATCCTCCTGAGATCCCAAACACTCTTTAAGTTGTAGAAATGGCCTTATACTGTACAGGCTCAACCACGAGTGTATGCTTGCTACCAGCAAACTCTTTCTTACTACTACACAAACACCTTCACACAAGCTGTACGCCAATGCATTTAGTGGCGCCTTTGACACACAAGAGTTGGACTGACTAAAACCAACACACACACACACACACACACACACACACACACACACACACTCCAATCTACAACGATCCAAGACTTTCTCCATGGAGAGTAATTTCTGTCATTTTGCAAATACACTTTTACACATTTAGATGTAATCCCATGTTATATGGATGCAGTTTTGGATTTGGATCCCTTTTTCTACAATTTAACATGGAATTAGGTGTTTGAATGCAGTGATTTTAAAGAAAGAATAAGTCCAACTGAAATGTGTTATACAAGAGATTGATTTAAAAAAAAAAAGAATCATCTAAATTCTTGTCCACATGCCTTGCTGCATTAGTTTGAAAGCGTCAATTTAGTCAAATGTGTTAAACATTTTCCTTAAGCGGTGAAAGACAAAGCAAGAAGAACAACACACAAATGCACGACAAAACGTAAGTGTTTATTTGAAGTATTTGAAAGGTTACAATGTGATAACAATGAAAATAGGTATATTATGGCGTGGACCAGCGCATAGCTCAATTGGTAGAGTTACTGTAGCAGACCATGTACCGGGGGCTTGGTCCCTAAGCGGAGGACCCGGGTGTGAATCTGGCTGGGAAGCATTTGCCTGCCTGTCATCCCCATTTAAACTCTGTCTCCATAATTAAGGCACCGGATGCCCTAAAAAATCTTTGAAAAAAAGTATGTAAGGCATGACAATTTTGAGGGAAACTTGACTATTAATGTCCTAGTTGACACTGAAAATGTTCACTTTTTATACCAAGGTCAGTTGCTACTGTATATTGCCCTCACACATACTGTAAATAGTGTGAAAACATGAAAAGTACAGTAAGCCCCCACAGTTTCTTACATCACACATCCCGTATTTAGCCCTATTTTTAGGGCTGAGAGTTCCCATGGGTTGTCAAAGTCATCACACGGTGGCTGTTGTTTCCTCACACGTCTCTTTTGGTGTCCGCGGGCAGGTGATAATGCCATTGTGATCGTGGCTGGTGCCAACATGCTGCTGGGCAGTGAGGAGCTGCACAGAGCTCTTCCAGCCATCAGTCATGCAAAGGTCCTTGTGTGCCAGCTGGAGATCAGCCCTCAGACGTCCTTGCAGGCGCTACGCATGGCTCAGGAGAACAAAGGTCAGTGAGTGTATTTGCGCTTTACATGATGGTGTGTCCACAGCTCATGTGCAGGTTGCTCAGTTGCCAGGATGAACATTCTTATAGGGGCCATATTATGCGTTTTCGGGTTTTCCCTATAGTGTGTTTTACAGGTTTTTGTGCATGTATACCTCCCACACACTCCCCCCTCCGCCTGAAGTGCCTTCATTGGACTCCTTTGTGTACTTGTCACATCACTTTGTGACACTCGCGCTTCTACTGGCTAGCGCTCTAGCACATTGTCTGTGTTTGGCTAAGGGTCAAGACATCTCAAAGCAATTCACCAGACCAATCACAACAGAGCTGGCCAGCTAACCAATCAGACTATGGTTTCAGACAGAGGGTGAAAATACTGTAGGTGCTGCAGCACAGGCAGTATGAGAAAAATAAAGATGTTTTTGAACATTAAAGCAAGTAAAAATACAAACATGAGACCTGAAAAAGAGCATTATAGGGCTGCTTTAAAACAAATTCTTCCCACTGACTCGAAGATGATAATATTTTTTCACGAGTGTTTGTTAGGTCACTGCAGCTCACATTCCACATAAAACACCATGTCTGTACTAGGGGTGTAACGGTTCACAAAATTCATGGTTCCACCACTCACACTTATTGTAGTCCACAGGGAACCCGAAATGTTCCCACACAGCTGATTTAAAAGAAGCAGATGGGTCTTCTCTTCTAGCTCCTGTGTGTTATCTGAAATCGCCATTCTAACTTTTCTTCTTGTATTTTGTTCGTTTTGCTGTGTTTTCTTCTTGTTCTTCATTTGTTGTTTAAGAGCGGCTGGCAAACAGCTTTTAGGCGCAATACCGCCCCCTGGGTTATATATAGAGTGGCGGAGTCCCTCCCCTTCCGGTGGACCTCCATGGGACTGTATTTCGGAAAAATTATGTATTGAAGTCAATGGAGAGAAAGATTATCTTTCGATCCCGTTTGAATTGTGCTTAATGTTACTTCATGTTAAGGCTAATAAAAATGACAAGGTTAAGGCTGTAATGCTAACTAACGTGCTTGCTACTAGCTAGGTAGCTAACTTGATCCAGCCACTCCTGGTCCTTTCATCAGACGGGAAGCGAAAGAACGAGCAAGACCCATTGCTGGTATGATAACAAACTGGTACTAAGCACACGGGCATCTTGTTAAAGTTATCTTAGCTATCTCTTATATTTAACGGAGGAAAACAAATGTGACATCACTTACGCGACTGGGATTTGTAGTCTTTCTAGTTGCGTATTTTTCATAGTCTTATATTTCAACAGTTTTACGACAAACTGTGACTTTTTTTATATGGAAATGATTTTTTAAGATCATTTCTTCGGAACCATGGCTGCTGGGACCAGAACCGGGGCTGGAACCATGGCTGCTGGGGCACGGGCTGGAATCCTGGCCCTGCGTCTCCTAGAGGCCCTTTGGAGACACCGTGGACCTCCACCAGGATAGTAGTCGGATCCCAGGAAAGGGCTAGAGGCTTGAGAAAAGTTTCCAGGACTACTGGTAAAAAGTTGTAGCCACTCAGGCAACAAACTCCTGAGCCAGGGCTTGCGAGCAACCTCCTGGCGTGCCTCCTTCAAAGCAGCCACTCTACCCCGTATAGATAAGGCGTCATACCATGTATAAAAAATGTACTCCAGAGAGTACCCAAGACGTTCCACCTGTAGCATCAAAAAAGCTGAATCTGCTGAGTCCATTTGTGGTTGGTTCGTTCTGTTACGGGTGAGCGAAGCAAGCAGGACCCAAATGCAGATAACGCTGAAAATACCTTTATTTCAAGGATACACGGATAAACAGATCACTCCCCGGTGAACACAGTCACAGACAAACGACGAACCAACAATGACAGACAGAAAAAACAGAACTTAAATACACACAGGACTAATCAAGGAAACAAGAGACAGGTGAGGAGGGAGGAGAAAACACAGGGGCACCAGGTGAACACAATCAAGTAAACAGGTAGAAGGGAACAGGTAGGAGGGAACACACACAGACAGGAAACCAAAGACAGATCTAAACAAGACAAAACATAACGCAGACAGAAAACCAAAGACAGATCTAGACAAGACAAAACACAACACAGACAGATCGTGACAGGCATCCCTACTGGTTATTAAAAACAGGTGTTTGTCATCAAAGCAACAAGAAAAAAGCTGCATATGTTGATGTTCAGGTCTCTGAACACTGAGGTCTGTGAACATGAGAAAGTGGTCTGCTCTTTGTACCATTGCTCTCCTAAGTTAA